CTGCTGGACGTCCTCCGGGCCGGATTGATCACAAGAGTTCTATGAGCCTCACTTGGGGTGTGGATATCATGCGATATTTTTAGTGGACCAATTCTAACATTTCAAAACATTATAAAACCATTACATTACAATAATTTACACTTTTTTCATCTGCTCTTTATATTCTTATATGCTCAGTTCATAAAACTCGTTAACACACGTACTAACGGCTCTTNTGTTACATGGAATTGGAATAGCAAGCATTGGTTTGGTCATTAATGTGCTTGTTATTGTCTTTTACATGTTTATTTCTGACAGTATTCCCACACATTTCTGATATACTTTGATATTATTCCCCCCACCCCCCAAGAAAAATAAGTTATGCTTTTATCATTCAAATAATTCTTGTATGCTTTTATTATCAAAATATTTGTTCATATACTGTCATTATCAAGTTATTTTTTGCTCATTATTTGAGTAATTTTTTGTATCTTCTGTCACAACCTTTTGCATTTTGCATTAGTCCTCTGTTACATTTTTACTCATTACATATAACTCTTCCTTCATTAGTTCCTTATGTTTTGGTTACATTTTTTGTCAGTTGTTTTCTCCCGATCTAGTTCTTTCTCAATCCTCCATTTCAGAAACATTATTCCCTAACTGTGTTCTGCTTTGTATTTGGGAAAATATGATATTGCCTGCTTGCATTGTATAAACTGTGTGAACATTGCTTCTTCAGAACATTATTATGAATATTTACAAATTATGGAATCTAGTTATTTATCAGGAATTGTCTCAAAGAGCACCTATTTAATATTTAGTTTCAAGCCACAAAAATATATATATTTAAATATAATAAGATACTGTATATGAAGAAATAATATGACAATGTCAATGGATTTTATTATTATTGATACTTTGTTATTATTATTATTATTATTATTATTATTATTATTATTATCATTATCATCATTATTAATATTATTAATTATATAATCAGTGGGAATTTTATAGGTAACGAGAAACAGTTAATTGAAGAAAGAGATGATATGCTGGTGCCATAATCTACAAAAGTTAGTGTTATGTCTATAACTAGAATTGAAAGATCAATGTGTAAAGATGTTCAGAATCTGTTATATAAACAAAAAGAAAGCAAGAGAAAAAAGAAAGAGATGAACAACAACACACATTTACCATAAACTGCATACTGACTAGATACTTCTGTGATATGCTAAATTCACAAAAGCTTCTGCTCACGTTTATTATTAAGAAGGAACAAATAAGCAGCAAAACCGAATTTCCATTTATCAATGAAGAGACATATTTCATTTCTTAATTAAAAAGATTGGTAATTTGTGTATTTATATGTACATGTGCTTACATACATGTCAACATACATATAAACAAATTTAAATTAATATATATACAGATGTGCAAAGTTAGAGTGCTTCACAGCAACAACAAACCACATGTCATCTCCCACTAGTGTCTGTTGTAATAAACACTGAAATCCATCCCCAGCAAACATTGTTCTGACGCCTGTGACTGGTACCAGGCAAGGTTCATTCCTCTCGGCTGTGTCGCCCAAACCAAGCTGGCCGTACCTAAAATAAATAAAATTACATTTGTATGGCATTTCATGTTTAAGGAATTATCCAGTGATAGAACTAAAAGAAATGCATATTGAAATATCTAGGTTATGATATAAAGTAATATCTGACCTCGCCAAAAGTATAAATCTTATATATGTATATGAGTAATATAAAAACATTTACTTGAACTTAAAAATTACAGATTGCCTGCCACAAGTGAATGTGTCCTGAAATGTCTCTTCCCTGGAAATTTTACATATTTTCACCTGTGAATCGTCAACTCCTTTACCCATTTCTAGGTTGATGCATAACAACTATCACTTTAACCACCCTTATTGTACCTTCCATAGTGCTATATGACCTTATACTAAAACATTTATTTTGCTTTTTTAACCATTAACCATTTCAATTGTGAAGAAAAGGATATAACTTAATCAAAACCTTAAGTGGCAAAGCATACTAACTTGTTCATGCCAGTGGACCATACACTCCCATCCTCTGAAAAATGTAAAACTATGAGAATAACTAAATTGAATTGGAATATGGCTCATGAATCATTAACAATTTTGACACTTTGTAAAAAAAAAACTTGGCTCTACAGCTTTAAACCCTATACTGTTAAAAAAAAAAAAAAAAAAAATGCTTTACTTACAGAAAATATGCCTGTAACATTCATATGAACTCTAAGTGTATGGTAATGTAATCTTACCAAGCTGATATAATGTGTGCCTATCTCCACCTTTGACATCTATGATTGCCATATCTTCATTCCAGAAGTCCAACAGCCTGGGCGAGGTCTGTACATTCACAACATCCTTCGCCTGGCCCTTGTTGATTCTCGGATCAGTTCTGCAATCTCCTGTTTCCTTCGAGAGATGCTTTATGATCGTTGCCACTCTGTTCATTGGTCCTAATTTCTTCCACCTTGCTGTCACTGTATTGTCTGTGTCGTTCGGGACATCGGCATCTGTGGCTAAATGTTCCCAAAATCGATGCCTCCTGATCTGCCTTGGCTGGGAAGCCCAACTGGCCGCTTTCATTCCAGCCCCACATGTATGCGTCACCACTCGTGCTCAAAGCTGTTGAAGAGAAAAAGAAGTAAGAGAGAGGATATGAGGAAGACAAAAGGGGAGTATAAAGAAAAAGGAAATGAGAAAGATGAAGGGAGAAGAAATGAGAATGACAAAAAAGGGAAGAAGAAAAGAAAGGCAAAGAGAATGACAGAAGGAAGGAGAGAGGAAATGAGAGACAAAAGGAGGAAGAAGAAAAAGGAAATAAGCTAGTTAAAAAGGGGAAGAGAGAGGAAAATAAGATAAAACAATAGAGAATAAGAAAAGAGATGAGATGAGAAAGACAAAAGGGGGAAAAAGAGAGAGGAAACAAGCCAGATAAAGGAGGGAAGAAGAGAGAGGAAATAGACAAAAGGAGGGAGAAGAAAAAGAAACGAGAAAGTAAAAACAGAGACTTGAAATTACATTAAGAATATCACAAGCTAAAATTCAGTGTTGAAAATTCTGCATTTCTTTGATGCAAGAGCTCATTCCCCAAACATAGCTATACTCTACCTCCACAGATCCAAAATTCCTTTCCCTAAGATTTGAGGTAACAATACTGTACTATGTGCTAAGGAAGGCCTAAAGGAAATTTAAATTGGTAAAAGAAGATTATTAAAATTTTACGGATGATCCTCTGTTTCCAGAAAAGATGTTATTAATTTACTCAAGATACCATACAGTATATTTCTTAACACACTAATTTCAGGATTAAACTCAAACCATTAAAGGCAACAATTAATTAAGTATTTATATATAAGAAAAATATGCATACATTATCGTCATCAAAGATAACATAGACCCACAGCCACAGCCCACCCACACAAATAATAAAAAAAATTAAAAATCAAAAATATATAATTACCGACACAGTGCCAACCCCCCGAGGCTATGGAGGAGATAGTAATGCCTTGGAGACTCTCTACTGACGATTCTGGCACAATTCTCCGTTGCCAAGTTGACCACGCCTAAAGTGGGATAAGAAATTAATACGGAATTCAATTATGTGTAGGAGTTAGGCAAGTATTTTTTGTCCATTGCTAGCAGGCAATTATTCAGAAGAAAAAGAAGTAGATTTTAAAAATGATACAGGAAAAGTCCTTATCAGTTTAAATATACTGGCTAAAGAAAATTTATCTGATATTTACTAATTTTACAAACTTTAACTATATCTGTGAGAGAACCTAGAGCTTCTGTCTGTGTCTGTCTGTCTCTCCCTCTGTGTCACTCACTGTCATCCTCCTTCTCACTCTCACTTTAGAAGCATCTTTTCTAGATACAGAAACTGAAACTTAAAGACATAAGATGATCTAAAGTCTAAAAGAGTACAACTAAATTTCCATTCTTACATTTATAAGTATAAAACATATATCACATTGTTATGGACATTTCATAGGAGATAGACTTCTTTTCCAAAGTAAAAGACTATCTTAAATGCTAATTTGAAACAGCAGGGATAGTATATTAGTGGAATCAATTTTTCCCCCATTATATTCTTAAAATTAATTATCATTAACCTTTTACTCAATATCCTAATTTCAATGTCAAATGAGCTCTTCTTGTCATCATTGGAGAATGATCTTAATTAATTTCATCCCATATTGGCAAAATGATACCCAGTGAGATTTAGGGAAAAAAACATCTATTTGTATTTACTTCCACCTACCTCTGAGGATGTGCACTACTTACATTCCACTGCCCCAGGTAAGGACTACTCCATCCGTTGTTAGTGCCATACAGTGCTCCTTCCCCACTTCAACGACACTGATTCTGCTGCCACCATACGGTAGAGGAACACCAATGCTGTACATCTTCCCATCTGTGGTTCAGGGCAGGATATATATTCTTATGGTAAATCAATCAGAAAAAGCAAACTTGATCTATTGAAAAAAAACTTGCACTAAATCTATTTGAAAAAAAATTATTCTTGCACTACATCTATTTAAAAAATGTCATAGTGTCCTATAGAGAGAACCCCTTTGGAAAATCAAAAATGTTTAATGCAAACAGTTGTTCAAACATATAATGGTCAACATATAAGAAAACAGTTGACTCTTGACTATCGCAACCTAAATAAACAGCATTTTCTGTTCATACTAGCAATAAAATAGCTTATTCATTTTTGCATAATATGTATATGTTATAACAACTATCTGTATAGTAATCTTTCATGACATGACTTTCAACACAATAATTTCCTTTTCAATATTTTTCTTCTATTTCTACTTGTTAGAAATTTAAAAATATCAACCTTGAGAAAGCCCAAGGAAAGATCAGTTATTTATTTATTTTTTTAAGTTCCTGCTTTGAAAGAAAATAACATCTTATACTTTATCTTCATCGAGAGCTATAAGAGAGTTGTCCTCAACAAAGACGGAAGAGAATTTTATTTGAGATGTTGTATGATGAACATTACTTTCACTCTCTGCTATCCTGTCCTGATCTTCAACTTGCTGCACTGAGGGACCTGTCAAATTTGAAAAAGAATAACTTTTGATTCTCCTTATTCTACACTGGAACAACCCAAAAGGCACCAACTAGACAAGTACAAATAATTATGAACCATATTCATGTTGACAAATGTGGAAAGGTATGAATGAGAACAAATATCTTCACAAGACAAAAGATGTATTTTACCGGTAAAATACATCTCTTGTATTGTGAAGATATTCGTTCTCATTCATACCTTTCCACATATAATTATAAATATATTTTTTCTAATTCTAAGTTTTATGATTTTTTAATCAAAGATGTGAACAAAGACTCATGCTTTCACCTAAGCACCTAAGTTTCTTGAGTCCATTGCAGTATCTCTCTGGAAGAAGAGCTTCCTCCACTGCCCCTTTTCACGCAGAACCACTGCCCCATCATCGTTTATGGCAGCCATTCGCATCTCGCTCATAGATATCTGCTGGAGCAAATCATCAGCTGACTTATCTTATTAAACCTTGGTATAATTGCTTGTGGGTTGTTCATAATTCTTTTTAATAACTTAGTCAACCTTATTAATGAATAACTTAGATGATATATGTTTTATCAATAATATAATTCACCTACACAAACCCTATTCCAAGTCAGAAGTTATACATGATAGCCTATGAACCATAACCATAACTATATACTTCCAGCAACTAAAATGATCAGCATAAGGTAATGTAAATACCAGAAGCAGGTAACACCTTTCGTATCCTACCTTCCATCTCTGTGCCATCTCCTCTTCCAGACTATAATCAAGATTTCTGTAGCCAGTAATTTGCCAACCAGCATCTGAAACATGACATAAGTGAGGTTCTTTGCTAGAAGAAATTTTACATCTCTAAGTTTTTGTCAGTTATATAAAAAAGAAAAGAACAAAATACATATGATTATTCTAAACTGTGAATTCAAAATTCATTATCCAAACATATCTGGGACCTAAAAGTTTTGCATTTATTTTCTGTATGGAAGGTAAAACTACTGGTAACAAAATACTATGTTTAATAAGTATATTTTCCTTAATCTTCTTGTATCATAAGGTGCTTACAAACCTAGTTTTTGGCAGAAAAACCTACAATACACAAAAGATGAAGTTCACTAAAAGATGAGAAAACAATTTCAAAAATCTTCATCAATTTCCAAATTTGGGTTTTCCTGTCATTTCATCAACATGGTAGAGTGTTTTTCTCATCAACATCTTATAATCCCTAAAACAATATATTCTCATAAGTATGAATAATGGCTAACATATTCAGAAGAGAGAAAAAAACTTGCTTACTGGTTTTCCAAAGTATGTGACTGCAAGCTATATGTACTTCACACACATCCTTTTTATCTCTTACTGGTGTCGGGCAGCACAAGAGCGGTGGACCAGCTGGTGTTATCTGGCCATTGGCATTGAGGCCACAGGCAACTAGTGCCATTCTGATTCTGTTAATCAGAAACTGAATTATACATTTTATATAACATTTTCATTCATGAGAAAATCATATATATATATATATATATATATATATATATATATATATATATATATATATATATATATATATATATATATATATATATATATATATATGTATATATGTATATATATGTATATATATATGTATATATATATATATATGTACTATATATATATATATATATATATATATATATATATATATATATATATATATATATATATATAGTTATCTATAAACCAATAATCATATATCTGGATATTCATACAATTATACATTTATATTTTCATATTTCCAGACGACAAATAGATAGCTAAATATATAGCTAGATAGATAGATTGATAGATTAGATAGATTGATTAAACAAACTTACAAACACACAGAGTACATAAAGGCCTAAACATCTCAAATCTGCCATAAATGTCTCCAAATATATACACTTTCAAATAATTATGAACTTTACAATTAATGTTTAAAATACTTTTATTTCTAGGTGTATTGACTGTGTTCTGTTTTAAATACATATCCGTGCTCTGTGATAGACAGCATATAACAAGGAGGGCAGTCAGCTGATTACCTGCAAAGGCCAACAGCCGCTACCATGTATATTCTGGTAAAACAGAGCATGAACTGATTAGATAAATAAACTGCCAAGGATGTTTAAAATGCTCTCACATTGCAGAACGTGCTGCTTTAAGTCTGTTGGTCTTCGCTTGTGTTCGGACTGAATAGTGGTAATCACTCTGGTGCCTTCTAAACTTTTACATTAATTTCTTTGATCAACAAACTACAACAATTTATAATCATAAGATCCATCTCATTTCTGATATGTATCTAAACTACAAAACCCCAGGTACTTATCAAGACTAGGACTGCACAAAGATACAGAAAAAATATTCAACCCTGCTTTATTAAAGAACCAAAACATTATCATAT